CTCCAAGATCTTTCATCTCAAAATTAGCAGGCAATATTTTCTTTGTCTCATGAAGCAACCCTAAGTTACTGCTAGCAAGCAGAATGTCATCAACATACAGTATAAAAAAAATAAAATTTTTCCCACTGATTTTAAGATAAATGTATTGATCAATAGTATTTTCAACAAAACCAAGAGAGGTCACAACCTCGTCAAATTTCAAATACCACTGTTGAGATGTTTGCTTAAGTTCATACAATGATTTGTTTAACTTACACACCAAGTTTTCTTTTCCTTTCACAACAAAACCTTCAGGCTGTTTCATATAAACCATTTAAGAAATATCTCCATTCAAAAATACTGTCTTAACATCCATTTGATAAAGCTCTAAATTGTAGTGTGCTACAAGAGCCATGATAATTCGAAACGAATCTTTCGACGAAATAGAGGAGAAGGTTTCAATATAATCAATGCCTTCTCGTTGAGTGAAACTTTTTGCAACCAATCTTGCTTTCTTTCGTTCAACATTTCCTTTTGAATCTAATTTACTTTTGAAAATCCACTTGTTATCTACAGCCTTAGCATCTAGAGGAAGTTCAACAAGATCCCAAACTTTATTCCTTTCCATGGAATTCATTTCATCTTCCATGGCAGCTATCCATTTATCTGCCTCAGGACTTGTCAATGCTTGATTATAAGTTATAGGATCAATAATATGCCCGATATTAAAATCGCTCTCCAATAAATATGTAACATAATCACCGGGCAATGCAGATCTTCTTTCCCTTTGTGATCTCCTAACTTGTGGCTCAGGAACCGATTCAATCGTTGTTTGAGGAATTGGAGATTCCTCCTGGTTCCTCAGTTCTTCATTAACAACTTCAATTGGTTGGGAACCAACTCTTTCCTGTATGACGGGAACTGGAACAACAACTTGATTGGGTTCAACAAGAATTTCTCTCAACGTGGAACTCCTACTGTCTCCAAAATCGTTCTTCAGAAACTTAGCAGTAATGGACTCCACAATTCTAGTGCCGTGATTTGGACAGTAAAACTTATATCCCTTTGATCTATCCGGATACTCAAAAAAGTAGCCAGGAGTTGATTTAGGGTCTAATTTCTTTTCAAATGGATTATAAATCCTAACCTCAACTGGACATCCCCAAACTTTAAAGTGAGCCATACTTGGCTTACGTCCTGTCCATAATTCAAAAGGTGT